TACTGAATTCTTTGAAGCTTGCCTCACATTGACAGACAGGATGGTTAAAAAGGCATTTGGCATGCTTGCCTTCCTCGCTCAGTCGTTTGGGTAAAGGAGTTGGGAAGTCATGTTGAGGATGTACAGGACATTGGTGAGCCTCTTCTGGGATACTGCATCCTGTTCTAGTCACCTAGTTATAGGAAGGATATTATTAAGCTGGAGAGGGTTCTGAAGAGATTTTCCAGGACGTTGCTGGGTATGGAAGGTTTGAGTCCAAACATCTGTAGGTTAGGTGGATTGGTCATGCTAAATTGCCCCATAGTGTTCAGGCTTGTGTAGGCTAGGTAGGCTATTGCTCATCCTTCTAGTTACCCACCTTTTGCCTACAATCCTGGAGGAATTCTCATGGTCAAATTTCCTTACCATCTTCATTGGAGTCAAGTGGCTACGTACAAATTCTAATGAAGATGTCCTTTTGGTCACATATCAGTTGAATGTGACTTTTCATGTAACTTTTACTGATAGAATTCAGACCTCCCCAATTGTATTTCAGATGCAAACCAACTTTGTGAATACGGGGGTAATCGTCAGTCTTGCCTTTCTGCTTGTTCCTTCAGCCGCCCCTATCAAGGAAGGCAGGTCTCATTGTGGTCAACTATATCAAATTGGAGTCTCAATAATTCACAGATAACAACTGCAAGAAATGTAAACATTAATCTCAGGTGCCCATCTGCATGCTCAATGTGGACTGGGTGACTGGAAATTGGAGAATATTTTTATGGATTTGGGAATGAGAAGGATCTTGAAGATTGCTGTAGCATAAGGAACAGCGTAACTAGGTTGAAATAACAGCAATTTCTTTTAAAGTGTAAAACCTGCTTCCCATTCCACTCAGCAATACCAATTTATTTTTATTATTTTTACTCTTTTTGTAAATCAAATGGTGCTGTATAGTGGCAACACTTTTTACTATCTCTTTCTAAATATATGGCACAATAAATAATAAATAAACTAGTGATTAGTACACTTTTATTGGATTCTATATTACAGTTTAAAGGCCAAATTAAATATTTCATGATGCACTAAGATAATATTCCAACATTGTAAATACATCAAGCTCAACATTGATACAGCTTCATCTGCTGACTGCCACTTTATTGATTTTCATGTACGCCAGAAGATAATGGAACTCAAAAGCTGAATTGCCATCACAATTATTTTTCTCATTTCAAATAACTAACTCTATACTTAAGAATACATGCAATTGTTTTGAGAAGATAGGATTATTACAATTAATATTGCGTAGATTATTTGCAGTTACTTTGGGGATAAAAACCATTAGGGTAGCCTACAAAATTAAAGTTGTAACAGGTAGATTCGTAGAAATGTGCAACATGAAGGTGGTCATTTGGCCCATTGTGTCCATGCTGGCTGACAAGGAATCCTCCAGCCTCGCCACACATTCTGGCACAAAAAGTGGACACCCAAGTATTTTTCTTAAATGAGGATTTTCACCCTTTGAGACAGGGTGAGTGAGAAGAATGTTCCCTCCTGCCATATATCTATGAACTCAATTATGGAACCCTTCAACCAAGGGAACTTGGGCCTTCCCATCCACTCGATCCAAATCCCTTATTTTTAGATACTTGATTAGGTTTCCTCTCAGGCTTCTCTCTGGTGAAGGAAATAGCCCTGGACAATCTTTCCTTATAACTAAAATCCTTCAGGCCTGCCAACATCATTTAAATCTCTTCTTTATGAACAATACATTACTACTAAGGAAGCCAGTGTGGTGACCAGAATTGTACACAGTTATACAGCTGCAGCTTAACTAGTGTTTACATAGTTAAACACACTGCTTTACATCCCATGCTAATAAAGGCAAGTATCCCATTAGTATTTAGTATTTAATTTACCGCCACATCTCTTTTAAGTATCCCATGCACCTTTCTGACAACTTTATATAACTTTCCAGCTATCTTCAAGGACATGGACAATAACTAATGTTCTCTACAGTATCACGAGAACACAAGAATTAGGAGTAGGTCATTTGACCCTCAACTGGTCTGCCATGTGACAAAATTATGGTTGGCTGACCTGATTGTCACAACTCCTCTCTATGATCCTACATCCTTTAAGTTACCTTCTCAAATTGATCTGATAACCACTGCAGATACTTCCTTACTGTGGTCAGGCACAACGTACATCAATTGAATTAACTGATCTTTCCTGAAGTGCACTTACATTCTGTAATTATTTCATAAAGAGCATTTCAATCTAAGCATCAAAGTCAATCTTGAAAGACTATGATGATGAAGTAAAAATCCTATAAAGTTTGCAGACCTATTGGCGTTTAGCCCCTCTGAAGTGAGTTGATTACTTAGTTTATCCAGGTAGTGCAATACAGAAATATTGACCAAAGTCTTTACGTTAGTGTTGCATATCTGTGATGTATTTAAGAGTGACCCTTTATAAATCACTGAAAATCTCCATTAGATTTATAAAAAAATGAAAATGGCTGATTAAAGGCCTTTAAGTGACATTGTATTTTGATGGTAGCAACTCTCTAAGTGTCAAAGGATTACTCTGGCAGGAAAAAGCAAAGTTAGCATCAAAGGGCTGTTAATTTAATTGTATTTCTAAAAGAAAATGGAGTTGCAGGTTGACAGGGTGGTGAAGGAGGCATTTGGCAGACTTGCCTTCATTGGTCATTGCACTGAGCATAGGAGTTGGGACATCATGTTGTAGCTGTACAGGACATTGGTGAGGCCAATTTAGGAATACTGCATAGGAAAGTTGTTGTTAAACTGGAATGGGTTCTGAAACAATTTACAAGGATATTGACTGGATTGAAGGGTTTAAGCTATAGGAAGAGGCTGAATAGGCTGGAGCTTTTTTCCCCAGCAATGGAGGCTGAGGGGTAACCTTATAGAGGTTTATAAAATCATGAGGGACATGGATAGGGTGAATAGCCAAGGTCTTTTTCCCAGGGTAGGGGAGTCCAAACTAGAGGGCATAGGTTAAGGTGAGAGATGAAAGATACAAAAGGGAACTGAGCAGCAGCTTTTTCACGTAGAGGGTGGTGCATGTATGGAACAAGCTGCCAGAGGTGGTGGAGGAGGCAAGTACAATTACAACATTTAAAAGGCATCTGGATGGGCACATGGATAGGAAGGGTTTCGAGGAATATGGGCCAAATGCTGGAAAATGAGGCTAGACCAGTTTAGGAAACCTGGTTGGCACAGACGAATTGGACCAAAGAGTCTGTTTGTGTGCTGTATAACTCTATGAACAAATCCATTTTAAGAATCTATTTGTGGATATGAAAGATCCTGACAATCTTGTTTATGAAATATCAGAAGTATGCCACCTTTGGTCACGTGCTGGCTTCAAAACAATTGCAGTGTCTAGGACAATGGAATTATTTGGTTTTATTTGATAGTATTGATCTTACGGGGAAAAGAAATTGCATTATGAACAGTTCTCTGTTTTGGGAGAACATTGATAAGAAGGTTTAGAATAGGTTGCCATCTATAATGCTTTGTTTACAAATGGAATGCTAGGATTCCTATTTTTCCTAAACAGTATCTGAGAAAGCAGCAAATCATCAAAAATTAAATCATTTTCTTCGACAAACTGACACAGTGGTCTTATTTTCAAAATATTATGATTTATAGATTCTTCAATACAAACAACTGTAATTGGCCAAAATTGAATGACAAAGAGTCCTTCAAGCTCTCATGTTTTAGTAATATAAGGAAAATATATTAATGCATAGACAGCTTAATTAATGCACTTTAAAAATCAGCTTCACCTATCTCAATGAAGCCCAGAAATCCTAACAGTGCTCAGTACTTTTCTCAAAAAAATGTCTTGTACAGAGAACATCTGATAAATGGTTCGATGTAAATTCCCTCTTCTATCTCCAAAACCTTAGGATGGATATTATTTTGCTTCAAGGTTCAGTTTCTCATAATGTAGTTACAGTGGTGTAATAATTCTAGTACTGGATGTGTAATTCAGTGATGCACAAGTCAAATCCTACCATGAAAAGTAATTAAAGGTGAATTCAATATATTTGGTTATTCTGTGATCAGAAGAAAAAGAATGACTAATTAAACTAATTTTCATAAGCGAACGGATGGCCATCTGGCACATTTAACAGGTGTAATCCGAATGTGACTCTAATTCATACTATGATACTTGATTCAGTGCCCCGAATTAGCTCAGCAAACTCAATTATTTATATAATCATGTTTAAGACATATTAATAATTCAAATGGGGTCAGGCAACAAATGAATCAATATTTCCCAAATGCTGAGAACCACAAAATTCAAATTAAAATGAATCAAACTGCGGAATATGAATCCAATCAATCAATTAATTATTGGAGATGTTCCTTTTCTGCAGTAAATGTGACAATCCACTTAAAGGTCAAGATTAGTTGTACGCTCTACCTTTTCTATACATTAGATTGGTGAACTAAAATCTAAGCAAAACTTACACCTATATACTCTCAGGGACGATAAGCCAAAGATTATTTAAAAAATGAAAATGATAGATTCTATACTACCATGCAGTTTTTTGCAATTAAGACATTTGTTAATACGAATATTAAGCAACATCTGAGCAGTGAATTTCCGTTGCTCATAAAAAGATTTGTCAGTAAGCAAAGGTTCACTGACATACAGTATGATGCAGGATAAAATACTACTTTTAATTCTATTCAAATCATCCATTTTTGGGAAGGAATAGCTCAGGTTCTGGTTCATGCAAGGATAACAGATGGATCAGCAATGGGTTAAATAAACTACCTTTGTTCTACACTTGGTTATGCTCAGTGCAACAAAATTGAGTTGTGCATAATCTAAACACGTTATAATTCATTTCTTTTATGTTAAGCAAATTGCATTTGAATTCAATGGCAACATTAGGGGAAAATATCAAGACTGTGCAGTTATTAATTTATCACAGTCTGAAGGTAATTGGGATTAGATTAGCACAGATGGCAATACAATGTTTTCAAATAAATTTATTGAAAATTGCAATGTTCAGCATTATGCTTTGGTTCCTGAGGAGGAAACATTCCAATTCTACAGACTGACTGAATGGTACACAATATACTGATTTCTGCCGACAGATAACAGACATAATACACTAATGATAGTAATTGGAATGATATGTGAGTTTTTATGTCACTACTGAATGGACCAGAGTTAGGTTAATTTAACGCTGCCAAGAAAGTGGGTTGTTCAGTTGTAACTTGCACACATGGTACAAAATAATTGCGTGCATACACATCATACATACACAGATAAACCAGGTACCTTACAAGGAATGGACTAAGTAGCATGCCTTCTTACATTACAACGTGATGACTGATTCTGATGAAATACACATTGGATACATGCACAAATATCAAAATCTTGGCATTGCATTCTATCCACCTTCCAATTTGATAATGCATTATTAGGTTAGTATTTCTTAAATTGCTGTTTCTGACTGAAATTGCTTTTACATAATATTATTTCCCATCTAAATTATTTCAATTAATTTTCACAATATTTGGGAGATGTTTTAACATTTTGAAGTTATGTAAGGTCATTTACTGAATGATAAACTGGTGTAATATATGGGCTGAAATGATCAACACCAAGAATCTTGTTTGATTTCTCAGTAACTGAATTTCATTCTGACCATTAAACTGAATCGTGGAACCAAGATCTTTAAAAGCACAGTGCTAGAGAAGTAGGTCTTCTCTCTTTCCACCTATACTGTCTTGACAGTTTTGGTTGTTTCATCCCTTTAAAGGGGAACCCAAACATTGACATGATTTTAATGCATTTTAGCAACAATGCTGAATCATATTCTTAAAAAATCATAACATTACTGAGCTCATCATTAATCACACAGCTATTTGTAGCAGATCTGTGTTAGAGTATATTTACATACAAGTATTGTCTGCAGGTAGAAAGTACTGATGTAACTTTATCCTCCACATTCCAAGCAAAATGACAAGAACACATTGAGAAACCTGAGGGGAACTTAAAAGTGGGAGCACTTCTCATTAAATGGAAAGAAGTCACTACTTTGAGAGAAACTTATTTCTGTTTTGAGAGTAAAGTGAAGGTTCCGTTTTTTTTTAAGATTCCCTGGGATTATTGTTCAATCATCTGAAAATTTTAAACTGCATCAGTCCACAAAATGTTAAAGGTTGAAATGATATAGAATGGTCCCAGTTCTACAAAATGTATTGGTAAATATATAGAATTTTAACAGCAAATAATCCAACAGTACCAATGTGTGTGCGAAAGAGGATCTGATAAAGAAAATTTCAAAATTAAACCCTAGACAATCATAGAGAGACCTCAAAAGGTACAACATTTCTTCAATATAATGAAACAACTCAAGTTTGTGCAAAGTAATAGATTTTGCATCACAATCCTATACAATTCAGTTACTAGCACTTTGGATGCCAAGTATTATGAAAGATTTTCTTTGGTATCCAATATTGTGGTTACAAGGGAAAACCAATACCATGCATCGTTGATGGAGGTTCTCAAAAAAGAATATTTAACAATTGAGTCTTCCGAACAAACTGAAGATGGCATGTGAAAAAGTCATTACGACAATTTTATGAAGTGGTCACAGGTTTATCAGCATTTGTACGGCACAAAGGGCTACATCAGTTATTACTAATTAAGGTCTTTCAAAAAGTCAATGTCATAAACACTATCCATAATCGTAACATTTGAGTTATAAATTTCACAGAAAAATATCTGCATTAAAAGATTCTGAGCAATATCTTGAGACAGTTTGTCATTTTAAAAAAAAATCTTGTTTGACACCTCATCTACACAGGATATTGCATAAGGTGTATGGAATCAAGCTTATGTGAATGCAAGGAAAAGGACAAGTGTAAGGTTTGTTTTAAAAACGTTTGATTTGATTATGCAGCTGTTTTACTCCACCATACAAAATTTGATTAGCAGGGAACATTCCCTCAAAGGCTTTTTGACAGTAAAATGCACAACTTCACTATTAAATTTAATGTTGAATAACATTTGTCTCAGCCTAGTATCTTTTGACAGACATACCCCAAGCTATTTATTCTTCTAACGCTCTCCAAAGTATATTTTGCGACTGAAATGTGATAAGCTGTAATGTTAGTAAAATGTTGTTAAAGTACAATACAGCAATTGGAAAGTTTGTGACAGGCAGACTCATCTCCTCCTCCTCCACTGTAACTCTGCCAGGTTCTCTTCCTCAAACACACCATTAATGGGGGGAGAAGCCAAGTTTTGCCAATTCACTTGCATGCCTTCTAACTGACTGAAGAGCAACACTAGTGATGGAGAACAGCAAGTTAGCAGTTAGATCAACTGCAGGAGGTAAAGGGATTAATAAAATGAAGGGAACTGAAGGGCGGTTCATGCCCTTGAAAGGAAGTAACAATTTGTTATATAACAGAGGGCAACAAATTGCAATTATCATCTTAAGGAATGTATAAATACTGCTAAAACTTTGCCAGGAAAAAAGGTCTGAATTCCCATTTGGGTTTTCTTTTTTCATGGAGTCTCCAATCTTTTCTGGATGCTTGCTTATTTAATCTCAATTACTTTCTTTGCATGCAAACAATCCAAACATTTTCACTCACACTTAAAATTTTCATTTACCTAGTAAAACAGATTCTGACTGTGTCACGAAGCCGTCGAGGGAACTAAGTTATCAAGTAACTAATCAATGAATAATACTTTCATCCAAAACTTAGATATCTGAGCTTTATGAACCATAGTGCTTTCAGTTAGGTACGTGGGATTTTGGACTACAGCAATATTTAGATGTACCCTTCTGTTCACACACTCCCTCCCTATAAATGCAGTAAGCTACTCCACGGAGCTGTTTGATGGTAATAATTCAGACTGAATGCTACAAGCTTCAGTGTTAGTTTCCACTTGACTATGTGTAAACATGGGTGACTGTACCTCCTCAGTCACACAAACACAAACTTCAGTTGAGTGCAGAGTCTCTTGGGTTGGGCAATCAGCCTTTGCAGAAACATCGGCAGTGTAATCTTTGCTTTGATTATCTGGGGAAATTTTATTTAAGGATTGCATATCTTCTTCCTTTTCCCCAATCTCTTTGCTGTTGCCATCTTGTGAGGTTGACTGAACACTGAGGTCATGAACCTTTTTGTTCAGATCATTCCTTTCAGTCTGAAGAGCACGACACAATTTTTCCAAGCGCTGAATCTTTACCTGAAGGCTTTCAAATTCCTTGTCACGCAGGGTTTTCTAGATTTAATATTAAAGAGTTAGGTAAATCAAACTATGTAGCTCTGTTTAAAAAAAAATCATTTTGCAAAAAAAGAGGGTAGGTTTGCTACTTCTGGGCAGTAAAAGATCATTTACACATGACTCATATATACTCTGTGCCTCACAAGGAGGAGGATGGAGAGAAACAAAAGTAAGCTACTATAATGACAATAGATTGCCTCAGGTCACTGTTGCAATGGTCAAAGTCCCACACTTCAACCCAATTTTCAGTTTACACACACAGTGCCTCATGGGCTGGTAGCATACAGGATAATACACACTAACAATCCAGAGGCAGGGACTAGAACTCTGGGGTGCGAGTTCAAATCTCATTACTGCAGCTTGTAGATAAAAGTCAGTCTCAGTGACGGTGACCATAAAACTACCAGGTTATTGTAAAAACAATCTGGCTCACTGATGCTCTTAGGAAGGAAATCTGCCATCCTTACCCTGTTTGGCCCATATGGAGCTTCAAAATAAAACCAGATGCACTACCCAGAATCAACCTACGCACTGGAAATGACAAGACACACCCTCCCCTCTCCTTATTACTATCTGGGATTGGTACCAAAATTGGGAGAGCTGTCTCAGATGAAACAAGCATTAGCCAGACAGTCACACTCAATCAATCATTCTTTACAGCTAATGTTCTGGATTCCTCCATCACCATCCCTAGGTATGTTTGTTTTATTCATTCATGAAATGTGGGTGTCATTGACTGGACTAGATTTTATTTCCCATCCCTAATTACCACCGAGAAGGTGTTGGTGAGCTGCCTTCTTGAACCACAGCAGTCCATGTGCTGTAGGTACACCCACAGTGCTGTTGGGGGAAGTTGGGAGGGCAGTTCAAGCATTTTGACCCAATGATACTGAAGGAATGGCAATATATTTCTAAGTCAGAATGGAGGATGACCTGGAGGGGAACTTGCAGGTGGTGTTCCCATGTACCTGCTGCCCTGATGCTTCTAGATAGTAGCGGTTGTGGGTGTGGAAAGTGCTTTCTGAGGTGCCTTGGTGAATTTCTGCAGTGCATCTGTAGATGGCACAAAGTGCTGCTACTGAGTATTGGAGGTGATGGGACAATGTTTGTGATCTGTAGAATCACACAGTGCAGAACAGGCCTTTTGGCCCTTCAAGCCTAACAAAATATCATAGTCACACGTTCCAGCATTTGGCCCATAGATTTGATTCTTATGATATTTCAAGTGCTCATCCAAGTACTTTTAAAATAGTTGTGAGGTTTCTCATCTCAACTACTCTCCCAAGCAGTGCATTCCAGATTCCCAGCACCCTCTGCGTGTAAGTATTTTCCTCAAATCCCCTCTAAATCTCCTGCCTCTCACCGTAAAATGATGCCACCTTGTTACTGACCCTTCAACTAATGGGAACCGCTGCTTCCTATTCGCACTGTCGATGCCCCTTGATCTTATATATCCCAATCAGTTCCCTTCTGTACTCCAAGGTAAGCAATCCAAGCTTCTCCAGCCTCTCTCCATCGCTAACCTGCTCCATCTCAGGCAACATCCTGGTGAATCTCGTCTGCACCCCTTCCAGCGCAATCACACCCTTCCAATAGTGCAGTCACCAGAACTGCACACAGTACTCCAGCTGTGGCCTAAGCAAAATCCTATACAGCTCCCTGCTCTTATAATTTATGCCATGACTGATCCATGCAAGCGTCCCATCCGCCAACCGCCTTCAGCGATCTATGGACAAGCGCCTCAAGATCTTATGGACATCTAAGCTTCCTACTGTTGTGGCATTCACTGAGTACTCCTTTACCTTGTTACTTCTTCCAAAGTACATCATCTCACACTTATCAGGGCTAAATTCCGTCTGCCACTGGGCAGACCATCTGCCCATCTGACCAATCCACTTATATCTTCCTGTAACCCAAGGCCTTCTTTACTGTCAGCCACCCAGCCAATCTTCATGTCGTTCACAAACTCACTTATCATCTCTGAACATTTTCTTCTGGATCATTTATATATATATAATGAACAATAAGACATCCATCACTGATCACCATTGGACACTAGGCTCCAGTCACACAAACAGCCTTCTACCACCACACTCTGTCATGTTCCACTAAACCAATTTAGGATCTAACTTGCCAAGTTATCCTAGATCTTGTGGGCTTTTAGAAGACCATAAGACATAGGAGCAGAAATTAGGCCATTCAGCCCATCGTGTCTGCTTCACCATTCAATCGTGGCTGATAAGTTTCTCAACCTCACTTTCCTGCTTTCTCACCATAACCTTTGGTCCCCTTGATAATCAAGAACCTATCTATCTCCGCTTCAAATATACTTGATGACCTGGTCTCCAGGCATTCTGCGGCAATGACTTCCATAGATTCATCATTCTCTGGCTGCAGAGGTTTCTCCTCATCTCAGTTCTAAAGAGCCTTCCCTTTACTCTAAAGCTGTGACCTCGGGTCCTAGTTTCTCCTGCTAACAGAGACATCTTCCCATCCATTCAGCATTCTGTAAGTGTCAATTAGATCCCCTCTCATTTTTCTAAACTCCATCAAGTACAGACCGAGAGTCCTAAAATGTTCCTGATATGTTAAGCCTTTCATTCCTGGGATCATTCTCGCGAACCTCCTATGGACCTGCTCCAGGGCCAGTACATCCTTCATGAGGTATGGGACCCAAAACTGCTCACCATGCTCTAAATTTGGCCTGACCAGAACCTTATAAAGCCTCAGTAGTACATCCCTGCTTTTATATTTGAGTTGACTCAAAATAAATGCGAACATTGTATTTGCCTTCCTAACTACTGACTCAATCTACAGGTTTATCTTAAGAGAATCCTGGACTAGGACTCCCAAGTCCCTTTGCATTTCAGATTTCTGAATGTTTCTCCCCATTTAGAAAATAGTATGTGTCTCTATTCTTCCTACCAAGTGCATGACCTCACACTTTCCCACGTTATATCCCATCTGCCACTTCTTTGCCCACTCTCCTAACCTGTCTAAATCCTTCTGCAGAGATAGCAGGAACTGCAGATGCTGGAGAATCTGAGATAACAAGGTATAGAGCTGGATGAACACAGCAGGCCAAGCAGCACCACAGGAGCAGGAAGGCTGATGTTTCGGGCCTGGACCCTTCTTCAGAAATGGGGGAGGGGAAGGGGGTTCTGAAATAAATAGGAACCAGAAACTCACCTGGACTCACAACATAAACACGGTGGCTACTAGAGCAGGTCAGAGGCGAGGAATCCTTCAGTGAGTAACTCACCTGATTCCCCAAAGCCTGTCTACCATGTACAAGTCAGGAGTGTGATGGAATGTTCTCTACTTGCCTGGATGGGTGCAGCTCCAACAACACTCAAGCTTAACACCATCCAGGACAAAGCAGCCTGTTTCACTGACATCACATCCACAAACATCCACCCCCTTCATCACTGATACTCTATAGCAGCAGTGTGTGTTATCTACAAGATGCGCTGCAGAAATTCACCAAAGATTCTTCGACAACACCCTCAAAACTCATGACTACTTCTATCTAGATGGACAAGGGCAGCAGATCCATGGGAACACCACCACCTGCAAGATCCCCTCCAAACCACTCACCATGCTGACTTAGAAATATATTGCCTTCACTGTCACTGGATCAAAATCCTGGAATTCCCTCCCTAACAGCATCGTGAGTCAACCCACAGCACAAGGACTGCATTGTTCAAGAAGGCAGTTAACTGTCACCTTCTCAAGGACAAGAAGGAATGGGTAATAAATGCTGGCCAGCCAGTGACTAGAATATAAAAAAATCAATTGAGGGTGGAACTTATAAACCATTCTTTCCTGTAACATGATAGTGATTCGTAAGTTTTTACAATATGTGACTTGGTTTGTTTGGGGCATTTTAATTAGTATTATGGTTTGTTATATTTAAGTCAAAGGATTGGATGTTGTGGATACAATGTCAATCAAGCAGGCTGCTTTGTCCTGAATGGTGTCAAGCTTCTCAAGGCATCTGTCTTTGGGATGAAGCAAGGGAGATCAGTCAATACTGCAAGGTGCCAAACAATTGAACATGCAAAACTGAGACATTTTTACTTCACTATTGCAAGCCATACAAATTTGATTATACTAAATAATTCTGTGCAAGTATCTTCCAAACAGATTGCACAATTGCTGGCTAAATACTGACTTTCTGCACAGCTGACATGTTAACTGTTTACTGGGGTAACCCTTATTTAATTTTTTTGTGCTTTTACATTCAAAAATGAAGGAAGCTTTATTGAACTAAATGCTTTGCAGTGGTATTTCCCTTGACACTTAATGCATTTGCTAATGCTACCTTCTATTTTGCGCAGCAGACAATGATCACTAAAACACTCTGGTTTCCAAGGCAATTATTTTCTTCACCTAGAGTTATCCTTTCACTGTTCTGCACTACAGTGAATGTCAGTGCACTACGTATTCTCACCTAGGTTGCACCATTTCACTGTGAACTTTTCTGGAAATTGCTGGCCGGCCTTCTTTTTGGCACGAGTGTCCCAACTACCAAATGTACTCATTCAGCCTACTTCCAAGAAAGAAAACTGAGTCATGGATATTTTTTGCCTTTTTCCCCCCCATTGCCTATCCCATTTGCCCTTCTGCCTTATTGTAAGCCCAGGATGTTGAGGCTAATTGTTGTTCTTTTAATTGCACCCTAGCTGAAAATGGATAACTTTTGTTACACTGCAAATAAATTCATCAAACTCTTTGGGGAGCTGAGCAAAAACCCTCTTGGGTGCTAAGAAATAAAAGCTGGGGTGCACGCAATACTACCTGTCCCTCCACCTATCTTTGTATCATCTGCAAACTTAGCCAGAATGCCCTCAGTTCCTTCATCTAGATCATTAATGTATAAAGTGAAAAGTTGTGGTCCCAACACTGACCCTTCTGGAACACCATTTGTCACTGGCTGCCATCCTGAGAAAGATGCTTTTATCTCCATTCTCTGCTTTCTGCCAGATAGCCAATCT